TAATGATTTGCTTGTGGATGCGATACTCCCATGTTGTTCGGTGAATTTTCTTGGGGAATTCACCACCGGAGCCTTTGACTAGCCAAAGCTTGACCAGCACGGTAACAGGGCGGCATCTATGGGGACGGGGGTTGTTCTCCAGTTCATTTGATCATACTTCATTTACATGGGGTCAAAAGTCCAAGGTGTCCAATCCACCTGGATATCCAATGGAGCTAGTGGCCACTGCCGCAACCCAGCTGTTACGAGTGAGTGTGATTCTTACGCCTGTTGTTGGCTAGTTTTACATCAGAGTTAATAGCCGAATTCCCTAGGTAAACCACTCGAGGTTCACCGACCCGGTTATAACCAGGATAATTATCACCCGGGAATTGACCGGTGTTTCCAATTAGATTGCGTGTCCATCTTTCTTGTTTGTCCGGGTTCTTTAAGGTGAGCATTTCTCTCAACGAAAATCGAGGTATTTTTTCCCGAAAAACCATGTATTGTCGAATGTCATGGTTGAATAGATAGCTGCCTTTTTCAACTGTTATTGCTGTTTTGTTTCACGTTTTGTCTACGTGTGACCTCATGATTATGTAATCAAGCTTCATGAGTGTGTTGCGGTCAAAGGTTATAACTTGTCATCCGTTTGTGATGTCATTTGATCAACACATGTCCTCGTGACCATCGAGTTACATTGTTTGTTACTCGGCTGGTGGCGCGCGTTTTGATATGTTCGTTCGGCGTTGTTTACCTACAGCTTTGATCATTTCACTGTTCTCGCAACCTCGGTCTGACATATATTAGCCTTTTTGAAATGATTATATTACCTCATTTGCTTTTATTATGATGACGGAACCAGAATGCTAGTCACGGTCTGGTCGCCCCCGTCCAATATCTGATGATCTCACAGCTTGTAGTTGTCAATTTCAATTAGTTGTCCTTTAATGTGCTGACTGAAAGTGAATAGGAAAACGCCGTCAAATGCAATTTCTGTTACATTGTGACACGTATGAAATACCTTTTTTCTCCATTTGGCTTCTACAAGATCATATGTATATCAAACTCTATTTTATGATCGAGTTGCTAATTGCGAGTGATTGTTAATACCTCTATGTCAGTTCTATGCCAGTTCCTTAAGTGGTAAAAGGCTTCCTTGGATGTTTCAACTGCAGTGATGATAGAGCGTTTCAGGTCACCAACATCATGTCAAATTCCCTCGCCACTATCTGGCTATTCTATTGTACGTATCCCCAGTTCAGTTCAGTTTTTACAACCATTAACCATGCACTTTCGTGCGCCGGTTTTGGTTACTGTCTTTTGGTGCTCCATTTGGATAAAAGAGCAGAAAGAAGATTGGAATGTTGAAAGCAACTTCAAGTCGAAGATGGAGAATTCATATAGAATGGTGTTAGGAAAATAATGAGTGGATGCACGAGCGCCACTGTTTGCGACATCCAGTCATATCACTAAGTTTATCTAACCATCGGTGACCATCATCCCAAAGATGTATGTATGTATCCCCAGGCGACGGTGGACTGATCGCAACTCCCCTATTCACGAAAATTGATCGTAAAAAATAATCACTCAAGACAGCAAAAATACTGTTTTTCCTATTGAGTATCAGCATCGACGCACTTTTCACCGATACCGGACACGAGGCTCTTAGCACGTGTTTTATCCTATCTGGTCCGTAGTATCCTGTGTAACCTGAACATCGCAGAAGATAGTGCTCGCTCATTCGCTGCTGTCATCGGATGTGCCGAGTTTCCACGAACCGTAATCTATGCACCACACCGATTTTGTTTGCATCTGCGAGGAAGTGTCGGTGCATCATATTATATTCCGGCCCCGTTACTGTTTTCTATGGGTAGAAGGACGCTAAAATTTGTCTTTGTTGAATGTCCCATAGGCCACTCTTCCAAGTGAACCTTGTCAATTATCTTTCGGAGAAATAAGCTGACCTTGGTTTTTCATTGAAACTGTCAATAATGGTCATCTCAATCACTGTTAATTGTCCTTTTTGACTGTCGTTCAAATTCAACCGTATGTTTATTTGATCGCATTGCAAAACAGCAGTACTGATTTGCTAATCCCGATTCGCTGTACTGATCACATAATAGAATCAGTTTGCATCAGTGCGAGCCCGCTTTCTTTATTTTTTTGTTAGCTCAGTCTTTATTTATTGCCAATTGAGTCTCTACATGATATCAGATATTTGGTCGATTTTCGTGGTTTGTTATTTGTGTGCAAAACGGTAATTTCGGTCATTCATCCTCCCAGGAACCCGTTTTCACAAAAAATAACTGTACAACCGTATATTCTAGGAATAAAAAGCCAGACAAAGCATTGCAGAGAAATCTGTTGATTAGAAATTTTGCGTTCAAGTAAACCGGAATTGTGAAACATACAAAGTTGTTTGGAGTGCTGAACGGAATCTTGCAGTCTAGACTTGATGCAATTTCGCCAGAATGATAGTTGCTTCGGGACTAAACTTTTTATCTCCAGTTTACTCATCTATCTTTGATCTAAGTGTAAATGCTCGGTATTGATTCTAGGTTGAATTATTTTTTTCCTCAGAACACCATTATTTAAACTTGTGCGTTGTATAATTTGCGTCTATATTAGTACTGACAGGGCACTTTTGAACCAGTTGTGGTCATTAATCGCTTTCCAAACACGCACATGTGAGATTTGTAATTGCCCTCGTGTTCGATATCTCCCACATAAATATTTCGCTCTGCAGTCTGAAAATAACGTTGGCTACTAGGACAAATCGTAAAATTCATTCTGTACAATTCTGTTTCATCTTCAACTGTGACAAATTCATAAATGGTTGCTCTTTTCAGTCTTATCTCTGTAAAACGTAACACGCTTCTCGCTGTTATTCCCTAACAATTTGCTCCCTCCCATCTTATCGTTGACATAAACACATACTCGGTTATTCATATCGAGTACAAGCAACAGAGTTCCTAGCTTTAATGCGACAAACACACTACTGTTGCATTCTCGTTCTAAACTGGGTAACTCTAATACATTTTACCTGAACTCGGACAGCTATCACTGACTATCCAATCTAACTCACTCATAGTGTTTGCTTGGCAGCAAAAGTAGCTTTGATGTCAGGTAGTCCACATTGGATCTCCTGCCTCTGTCTATCATATCGTATCTGATTGGGATTTATGAGCATAAACGGCGCAAATCACTCCAAACTGATGCAAGTGTTTATGCCCAGACATCGTGTAAGTTGATAAAGCAGACTCGGCCACATGAGCTGATAATCTTTCATTATTAGAGATTACATCTGAACAAACTTGAATTGGCAACCATGATTATCCCCGGTTCAAGCTGGTTGACGCAGTGGTGACGCATACTTTTGACTGTTAAGTCATTCCTAATAAATAACTGCAAATCTGTCTAGTATTATTGTTCAAACCCTCTTTTTCCAAGAGCCTTCGTTGTTCATCTTTTCAGCCAACGTATAACGTTTTCTTATTCATTTGAATAAAACAAGTAACACAATATGAGCAGAATTAATATTGGCCATCAATTTCACGTGCTCTCAGTCAGCTGTCTACGCACATTAAATAGGTCAAATTTTATCATGGGAATACCATATATGGACATTTACAATTGCATGGGGTCAAGCAGAAGGCACTGAGTGGTTGAGTCATTACCGAAGTCATTTCAGTATGAGGAGAAGAGGAGGAGGGGTGGGGAATGGTAGCATAGAAAACAGTTACGTAATGGAAAACGATTAGCAATGGTGGAAAGAGAGTTAGACATGGTTACGTAATACGAGAAAGATGCAACCAGAAATGAATTCGAATAGACGCAGAAAGTTCACCGAGTAAAAAAATTTCTTATTCAACTGCAGTATCGTCAAGTCGTCTTTCTGATTCCGGTTCTTCCACTTGCATTGTACGGTAGTCTCTACGGTTACGGGCTACATCCTTCACTACACGTGTTTTCATGTAAAAAACTGTTCGAATTTCTCTCTCGACATATGGTTCAAACTAAGACCCGAGACAGGTGGCGTGTGGGTAAAATGAAGTTATTTCCTACTTCTGTCGCTGTTTGAATCATATCTCATTTACACAGCGTGTTTTATCACAGGATTGTTGCGGACCAGTATCACAGTTTCGTGATTTATCGTCAACCCTTGCACTTGCGGTAAGAGATGCCATTCTCTAATTCATCTTATCAATCTGCTACCAATATCTTTCTCCCAGTTTGGTATCCGCTAACTTCTGCTTATCGCTGCCACCATCTCATGTTCCCGAATTTTTTACTCTTTTTTCTTCACTTTTTGCACAAATCTGGTTGACAAACTTATTCAATGAGAGTATTATGTCCGAACACAAACAGTTACAAGGTGTGTTTTTGAGTGATTTTTCACCACCAACAGACCTATAACACTCGTCTTTGTTGATAGAGCAATCTTGCTATGTTGCTTTTTGGCTCACTTGGACGCATCGCCCCCACTTGGTGTGCATCCTCGTCTAACAGTTGCATCGGGTTTGATCTCTGTTGCACAGTGGCTTACCGAACTGTTTCATTGACTCCGTTGCCACTCATTCTCTTCGCTGTCTCTCGTTCTGGCCCCATCCCTTTTCCAGATTTTGTGACGGATTGCATCTGCTACAAACGTTCTTGCACATGATTCAAATGTTTATCAGCTATATGCTAATGTTGATCGTAATGACCTACAACGTGTACATGCTGATCGCGGTGTTGCTCGGGTTCACTTTGGGCTACTACATCTTCTCTCGTAATCGGCCGCTGATGCTTCGATCACCTCAGTGCTGTCATTAGCCCGACTGAGCCGAGAAAGCGACCGTAAACACACCGCCTTGAGACGAATCCACCTGCGTGCATTCTCGTCGGTTTGTAATTTATCACCCAAACATCCAATTGACGTACACTAGTCGGTGTACCGTGTCATCTTGGTTGTCGTATTGTCCCGTGAAACTCTGTTCACAATATAAACATTAATAACCCGGAATCATTTGACATATCCCACATCCTGAGTATCCTGTGGATGGCTCCAGATCCGGGCAACTGTGGTTCGGTCGTTTTTGTTTGGAGAGATAGTTCGGCTCACTGTGTTCAGGGATATCGTTGTCTGTCTCGACCCAGTGACCTTTGATTTTTCCCACCCCGTGACTCTTTGTACTCATTTCGATTGACAGTTTGTGGATCCTCGATCGTTCGGGTCGTTTTGCTTTGTTCTCCCCAGGGTGCAGTCCATTGTTGTATGCATTTGAGTTGGCTAATTTTCGTTACTTCATTTATCTCGTCGTTTTTACAATCTTATACCGGGTACTAGCTGGATGTTCTTGTCAATAATGTCGCTTGTGTTTGCCCACTATCTGATTGATCACGCGAACCCTCCTGTCATACTTTTAACCGGAAAACACAGAAAGAGAGATGAAGGAAATACGTTGTACGAGCTTGATGATTGGGCCCGGTTGCTAAGCTATGGATAAATCCATCGGCCGATTAACGGTGAGCAACTCTGTGGGCTAATGGAAGTGTGACCCCAATTGGTTGACTGTTCGGATGGGCCTTTGTGACCCGAACAGGTTCTCCTGTTCGTTGTTTGTTGCACGTGTTCGTTTGCTGACAATTCAGACGTGTTATTTGAATGGTTTCCCACCTCGGATCCTGAAATGTGGCATTGTTACATATTTTTACTTGCAGAATACCTCATATTAGTGCCGAATGGCATCTGAACTGAGCTTTTTCCTTTAAATTCTCGACCAATATGTGTGGTGAACTTCTCACCGTTATATTTTCCGCGGCGATGGAATTGTGTGAACTAACTTGTAGGCATGTATGATTAAACCTTTCATACTTCTGTTTGTTCATGTGTGCTATCATGCTGGAAAAAGTGTTCGACCTTGCAATGTGTCATTGACATTCATGGTATGCGACTAGACAACTGAAAGTTCAAGCAGTTGCATTTCAACCAGAATATTACGATCGGATTAACTTGTTTGATTTTACAGGCTCGGACCACTGCCAATGCTTGTTTTGGGTGTTTATTCTCTGCATGTCCACGGCATTATATGCACGATGGAAATACTTTTGTCATGGTCAACACAGATGACCTCTCGAACCTGGATAATTCTTATTCCAGGTTTTGTGTTTCTGTTCATCCAGACTGTCAACAATAGGCCATCGGGAACCGATCAGATAAGCTGTAAACTTTTTTGCAGTACCCTGTTGTATTTCTTTTGGATGTTCCAATTGGAAAACACGGTATAAATGTAACTCACTTTTTTTACTAAGGCGACCTCTTCTGACCAAGTGCAAACGGAGGTTGGACTGTTTTATCCGATAATCACCTATCCCTGGTGATGAACGCCCTTCTGTCCATTGCAGTTTTGCACACATTACTTTAACTTCCCGAATCGTGTACCACTTTTGTGTCGGTAACTACTTGTTAGGACTTGCAACTTCAACGATATCACACTGTTTCCTGTAGCTCAGGCCCTCCGCTTTCCATTTATTAGCCTCATCATCTATTGTTTTTACCGATTATGAAAAGACAAGTCTCAACAACCAGTCTGTGTGTAATCCGGTTTGCACTAGGACTGTTGACAAGGCTCGTGGGTCGCAAAGATCTCGGAGCGAAACAAAATTCAAATGTAAACTGATTCTATACGTTTAGTGTATCACCAGCGCACGTGCGTGTACTGGCAACTAAACTCGGCGAGAGAACTATTCATGTAATTAATTTATTGTGATTTAAGGTACTCGTGGCCTAGCAGCTGCCAGAGAGAAACTACCATGTGGGAAGGCTGCGTAACTTGTGGTTGGATTGCACTGAGGTGGCACTGCGCAACAGTCTTACTCAGCCGTCAGACACTGTAAGTTCGGACACTTGACTGATGTCAGAAGTGTGTTGTGTGATTGAAAAAAGGGGTTTAAAAATCATCCGATTGCCTTCGACAATGAGCCTGGGTCATTTTTAATATCTGTAGTTTTATTCTAAATGAGTCAAAAATTTATTTCATAAAACTACTGTTTGTGGAGACTTACAACTCAAGGTTTCCCAGTATCTCCACTTTTGAATGAAACACAAGACCTTTGTGGGCCATTTGTTTGGCAGTCTATTGTAAGGTCGAAATGATAAATGCCATTTTTGAACGATTAGACGTTTTCGGAAAATATAAAATACTACCGCAAAAAGAGTATCGTATCCCCGACATTCGATCCAAACAAAGGACATCATTGCTCGGAGCAACTTTCCCCATTAAGAACTCCGGTACGCCTTTAAGCATGACTTCTGCGAGGTTCCGGAATGTATCTGCTATTCCCGTTGTTGGGCGGCCTCTAGTTCACCATTCATTTAGTTTATTATCGCGTTGCCGGGCAAACTCCACATCTGAAAACCGAGATTTTGCGCCATGAGTTTAGATCTGGATTGCATTTAGGCCAACCATCACCTAAGTGCTACGGTCTATAACCTTTGTTTCATCAAACGTCAGTTGTGATCTGTGCTATCATCCTACAGAAATACTGCCACGCCTGATCAGTCAACTCCATTAATGGCAGTAGATGGCGTTTCAGTGTAAAATCCTACGCATCGTATTCTTGTACATTTTAATGCGTTGTGCTAATGTTGTCTACGAAATACTTATTACGAGACAACAACAGATATCGCGAACTCTCAACCATGCTTGTACTGGTATGACCTGTAAAGCAAAGAGTGCACAGATGCGTAAGCGTGCAGAAAAGTACAATCAGCGTGCCGTGACCAATTAGACGGTCTGGTGAAATAGCGGAGTCCGAATATGGAAAAGATACATGTGCGGAGAGGGCTGATACTGTCATTACAACACCATTCAGGATGCGAGGTTGTTAACACCAGGAGCTGAAAACTACTATATACCATCGGCAAAACATTCATCATGGATATCTCGAACGTAATACTGTTCGTTTTTATTAACTCATGCATTGAGGTTGTCGTGACCACTTATGGTGCTTCTTTGCATCCGAAATTTTTCTAAATCGACGGGCAATTGGACTAGCCGCAAGCTGGGGAGAGCAATTTTGATATGAGGCGACTGGCAGATTCATGATAGTCTGAGGTATTCATTGGTCATCAAGCCTCTCCGAGTTATCCTCATAGGCGTTTAAATTGCATATTGGAAATCCGTTGATTAAGTAACACAGAATTCTGACCGATTTCAAGAAGGACGAAGTATGCCAGCGTTCTACAAAGTGAGAGTCGATTTGCTTGAAATCACCAGGCCATTAGAGATCGATAAGCGTCACATGGCAGCAACTGGTGTGGAGCAGGCAAAGTGAATGGAATTCCAAAACACAACGAAATGCGATCCTTGATTCAGCGCAGGGAATTGTGGCTACGTGTATTGAAAGCATGGTGACATTTTTGCACTCCCGCCAGCAAAGTGTCCCCTAAAATTCTTATAAAAATGTTAAAATCCACCGTTGCCGGGACAATAGGATAAAAGTTTTCATCTTTGATGCGATGTTCGAAGAGGGACAATAAGGAAAGTACACCCAGCTACAGCGTCCTAATCAGGTCAGGTCGCAGCACTTGTGGATCGAACCAAATTGCACTGTAAGCCCCAGGTGTCTCATTGTGCTATGAAAGCTTGGTATTCCCGTTACGTCTCTGTCTTGGAGTGTAAGGGCGAAAAGGAATTGTAGTGACTTCATACTGACAGTGCAACATCCTCGAGAGTTGTCGCCATCTTTGGTTTGCCTGTTCCGCATGGTTTCAAGCATTAGCTGTTTGGGGTATTCTCCTGTGCATCCTTCTCCTTTGTAGCATAGATTCCGCCGGGATCGTCAATATCCTGAGACCGCTTCTTCAGGTCGGCCTTTCATCTTTGTTTAAGTCACTGCCACCTCCGATGGAGTAATTTCACAATAAAACGGTTCGTGGGTTCAGTGCTAAACCTTCGCTTGTAAAGCTCTTCGTTTTCAGACACTCTCGAGCGTACTCAGGTTAAACTTCCGGTACATTTAAGGTAACAATATTTTTCCCTTGACTAATCGGTTGTTAGTTCAGTTCAGTTCCAGGACGTTGACGGCGGTGTGCCAGTTAGTCCAGTTTCCTGCA